TGTTGATCAACAGATTCTTTGCTTGTTCATCCATCATTCAGAAAGTTTTGGGATAAAAGTGGATTTGGATCTTTAGTTCAAAATTAGTCAGAAACTGACTCTAGGAACACTCTGCTCTGATACCACTTGGTGGTCCTGGATAGGGTAAAAGTCTAGAGGGGGGGTGAATAGACTTTTAAATCTTTTTCAACTTTTTCAAGTTTTTGCCTCTAGATGAATTGATCTATAATCTTTTGAGAGATTAATAGATGCACAGCGGAAGTCTTTACCCTTTTTATAATGAGTGTGTGACAACTTTCTACCTTGAATGATGTTTGGGCTTTAAACTGTGAGCAGTTGACTTGGCAGTTGGCTAGATGGCAGGGAACTGCTGAGGCAACTGCCAGTTGAAAACAGGAGTTTGAGAAAGATGATAATATGGCCTTGCAGAGAATGATGAGGGCTTTTTGAATATATGTTGAGTTGAAGATAGTAAGGAGTTTTGCCTAAGCAGTGGTCTGAGCAGTTGGGTAATCCCAGGAAACTGCTAAGCCGTCTGCTGCTTATAAAAAGGTATCTTTGGGGACTGACCAACTACTCCTAATAGTAGTGATATTTAAAGCTTGTGGGAAACAGAAGTCTCAAGGAAAAGTGAGTTATTAAGCAGTAGGATAAGCAGTAGAGTCAATTAAGACGACTGCTTAGGATGCTGCTGGCAAACTACGATCCCTTTAGTGAGAAGTGTTGAGTGTGTGCTTTGGTGAGTAAAGGAGAATCAACACACGATGTATCCTGGTTCAGAGGTGGTGTAATCCTCCTACATCCAGTCCCACCCTATTTCAGATGGATTTCCACTAAAGTATTAAGCCCAATACACTTAGTGCCAATCTAGCCTTTACAACACTTAGGCCTAGATTGAAGGTTTTTCACAATGAGTATAGCACCACTCAAAGTTACTCAGTCCTTAGATTTTTCTCAATTGATCCAGTGGGGATCAAAAGGTACTCTATCTATCTAACCACACTTTAGGATCCGAACAACTGTTCTCCTAAGTGTTTACAACAACATGAATTGATTCACGAAGTGTCTAACCTCCAACTAAAACCTAAGCTCTATAAATGTTACAATGAATGATCTAGTCTAAGAGCTTAGTGAAGCATGAGTCAAAGTAGAGTGTTCAAGCACTTTTTCCTTTGCTGGATATGCGTAGTGTAATGACTGAACCACTTGCTTTGAACTCAATGACTTGATTTTTCAACTCATGCTTCGGCCTTTATTTATAGGCATCTCTGGTTGATTAATATCATCCGTTGGTTGAGATGATTTAATCATGAACGTTGAATCTTGATCGCAGAAGATAAACAACTTGTTGTTTATTTTCTTCTTCAGAGCTGATGGGTTCTTTTTGTCTTGTTTGCCTAGCCACTGTAGCTTTTCCATTTCAAGTTGACTGTGCATCCCATGCTGTACGTCTTGGCTCTTCATGCCGGGATTTTTGATTGGCTCCGGATAATCACGAGACAAACACTCGAACAGTTAATTTTTGAGTCTAATAAAATTTATACTGGTAGGATTTAAATATCCTATTAAGGTAAATAATTTTACCTTATTGCATTTTTTAATTTCCAGTATTAATTTTATTGGTCTTAAAAATTAAACATTTATTTGTTCTCAATTAGACACATGTATATTTCATACCTATGTGTCTTTCGTTTTTGTGACGAATTAAAATGTTTGTGATAAAGTAAATATATACCGGTAGGATTTAAATATCCTTTAAGGTAAAAATTACCTTATTGCATTATTATTTTTTTCGGTATAATTTACTTCATACAAACATTTTTCTTTTGACTCTTGGTCACACTTGGTTGTGTATGGCTCATCAAGTATTTCGAACATAAACTAAATACTTTTAACTGGTAGGATAACAAATCCTATTAAGGTAAAAATTATTACCTTATTGCATTTTGTATTCCAGTTAACTAAACAGTTTAGTTGTTCGAAACATTTTTGTGTCATTTGATGTAACAAATAAATTTAACTGGTGGAATCTATAAGGGATGCCTTTTAAGGTAATAAAGTATTACCTTATTGCATTTTATGTTTTCCAGTTATATTTATTTGTTAATTCTTAATTTGAGCAGGACACTTTCAGATAATTAGTACAGCCAACTGCCAGTATGCATAATAATTGAATGCTACAAAAGATGGGAGATATCAAAACAAAGGCATCATCAAAATCTATCAGAATCTAGTATCTAACATCGTCCTATTGTGTCAGGATCTCTGCAAATGCAGGAAAAATTAGTTTGATGGTGCAGGATAAGGTGTACAATGATGCACTTTCAATCATAGCACACCCTTTGTCGCAACCCCAATGCACCCTTTCAGGCTTAGAAAACAATTTGCTTCAGGTAGGCACCGTACATATACACACGACTCAACACCCATCATAATGTTTTTCCCTACTGCCCTTCTAAGACACTCGTTTTAACTGTGCATTTCTTTTTGTCTTGGCCGTCCAGGTTACAGTTGTGTGGGTGTCAGGGAAGTTTAGCTTGCCTGATACCACCCAAGAATGCTTCTACATAGGTTGTAACTATTGCAACCGCAGGGTCTATGGTACTGAGGGCATAACTTTTCAGTGTTTGTTCTGTGGTAAAAAACAAGGCACAACAGTGAAGCGGTAAGCCCCCCCTGCCACATAGAATTCATCTCTTTTGCTTTCTACTGCTAATGCCTCAGAATATACACAGATTCAGGCTTGATGCTGACCTCCATGATGGTACCACTTCCATTCCTGTCACTCTTTTCACCACTGATATCCTGACTCTCTTGAAGTATACTTGCACTGATCCTGACACAGACATAGACCTGGAAGCCTTTAATACAAAGTTGCAAACCCTTGACATTGTAGCCGGCATCAAACATTCAAAGCCTAATGAGGAAGGAACTCAAGTTAACTCTTACACTGTTGTTTTAGTTTCACAAAAATTAACCACCCCAACCGTCTCACCTCCTGTTACCCAACCACCACCACTCACAACGTGTGAAACCTCCTCTCGAGCCAAACGAACATTGAATTTCAAATCAGGCAGTGACCTGCCTCCTGATTCTCCTACTACTTCTAACCTTTCAGTGCACAGCGAAACTGAAACGGAGGAACAACTAGGAAAGCTGCGTGGTAAAAAACCAAAGACCATCACCCTTTAAACCCCAAAAAAGTGTTGTGTTTTGCTGTGACAAGAACGTTCTTGAGAAACTATATATATCTGTAAATTAGAGCACGCGTAGCACTTCAAACTTTACTCGGCTCATCTTTTTTGCTCAAACTCATGGTTTGTATAATTAGTAGCAACTGAACGTTGTTGGTCGCCCTTGCTTACTACCAGTTCATGCCTGTACATATCTGCTTTTGGGCAAAGTGGGGCATCCACACCTATTTTGCATGCTTAATATATTCTGGTGTACATTATCTCATTTTTCAATCTTTTCCCTTCTACCTCTTTAACCCACACATGTTATGGTAACATATACTGTGTTTCATTGAATCTTCTCCCATATTGTTGTTATTAATACAAAACTCCAAAAAAAAACTTTTTCCCTACAACTAAAATCTTTCTTCTCTTGTAATTCACAACTCCTTGTGCGTTTCACTTACTGCTGTTTCATCTATTGTTTTTTTACCCATTCACACATGCTTGCATTTTCCTACTTTTTGTATTGGACAAACTATCCTTTCTCATTTCACAGAACCACTGGTTGTACTTGCTTTTGTATTTGGGAAACAGTTTTTTTTAGTAAAATTAGGTCACACAATTGGATCATGAAAAAGAAGGTAATTAGATCACAATTTCATTCTAGAAGGTTAATTTCACATTCCTTTCCTCACCACATTTGTTTTTTTTGGAAAAGAGTGTTTATCTATGCATTATTGAGGTATAAAAAAAATACTTCACCACACCAGTCTGACCTACCCTATTCCTTTCTTTATCTATAATTTTCTGAATTTTCTTAGGTTTCCTGTATTTTGGTGCTAAAATAGATTTCCCTATACAAGCATACCTGTCCTCATATCATTACAGTCACCTGGTGATGCCTAACTTATAAATCTGTCTAAAACGCTGTGCTCTATATGGATGAAATCCAACAGGTTAAATACCTAAATCATGGAGTTCATTCTTATGTGTGTTTGGATGATCTACGGATAAAACACACACAAGCATTAATTATTTTTTGATACATTGTTCAGTCTTCAGCATATAGGATTGGTACACAAATTCTAATTTGAATGATTACCTGTATATGTGGATGACCAACTATATGTATGGAGGCTCGTTTTTCATCACAGGTTGGATTATCAGCTGTATGTTGTCCTTCCAACTTTTTTCAATTTATATGCTAAAAAAGCCAACAGCTACAAATGCATATAAACTGTTTCCCTTTTTATATCTTAGAAAGTGTTATGTTATTAAATATTTAAATACATTTACATTTTCATGAGGAATTGAGGATGTTTATTTGGTTATTGCTGTACAGAATAAAAAATTGACTATTTTTTCTCAGTATCCTAGCAAAAAATCACCGTTATAGATTTCTTTTTTTGAAACACGTATAAACTTTTACGTAGTATATACTTTTATCAGTGGAAATAATTTTGCAGATGGAATTTTGACTTGTTCACATGTATGTCACTTCTGTTTAAGACCATAAGCTTAAAGGGGTACAAAACAAAATTTATTTCCTTTCACTATCATATACAAGTCATGCCGAAGACATTCGTGAGGTGTGGTAATGTTTATTTGCTTCCTTAAAAACACTAAGTAAAATAGATCTTCCTGTTTTCATATCATTCTAGATTTGTTATGGTAGTTTATTAAATACATGAACACTTTTAGTTTGGAAAAAATTACATAAAATAGATCTATTGAATCTGAACCAAGTGTTTGCTCCCAAATTTTATTTTACTACAGATTTACTGTTTTTTTCTTTCCATATTTTCTTTCCCTATCATTTTACAGATTGCAAACGTGTCAAGATCTAGATCCTGTATCATGTTGGCTGTTTAGCAATGAAGTGATATTCCTCTTGGGACTGTTGCAGCACTTCACAACTTACATGATGCTATTGTTAATGTATTGATTTATTATCCTCTAACCGGTGGACCCTTAAAATCGACTCATAATTTTTAGTTCCACAATTACCAAATCAGGGGCTTTATAAATCAATGTTTTAATGGATAATACTTGTTTATGTAATTCTGACATTTAAACTCAACAGCAAGCAAGGATGTAACTATGTCCTACATTCTATACGGCAAACCTGTAAGCATCAAATTTTCCTCTAATGATTGCTAATTATACTGCTGTAGTTAGCATCCGCTATTATATTTCAAATCATTTCATGGCCCTCTTGCTATACCACCTGGGTATTATAGAACCCACCAAGGTGAGTACAGTATTATAGTATATAAAATATCTCAATGTGCACACAATCAATTTTAGTTTTGTTTTTCCATGTTTTGCCATGACATATATTATTACTTTCAGGTAATAAATATGCCTGATTCAAATTTGCAGGTAGGTTTTTTTTTATAATATATGCTTTTATGCTTATCATTAGCTACTCAAAAAATGATGTGTTCTTTTTATTACTGTTTATTCATATTTTCTTGTTTGCAGCCTTTCTTTTCGTTTTTATTCTGTGTTCTGGGCATGTTTATTACCCCATTTAAAAGTTTAAACCCTCTTTCACATGATAATTTGGTACTTATTTGCATATATTTTTTTCTATTTCATTTCATTTCTCTTATTCTCACCATTTGCATCTGAGTACCAATAACTATTGTGCAATTATTCTCAATTTTGCATCTGTGTAACAGTGACTATTGTGCAATTATGCGTTTTGAATTGATATTCACTGCTTATTACTGAGAGTGGCATAATTGTTTATGCATAGTGATGTGTTGTTAATTTGTGGATTAGTTTGTCTATCTAATTAGATTCAATCTCTTCCATGAGATTTTAAATGACAACATTTCCTTAGAATTTGGGTGTTTTTTTCCCTTTAGGTAACATGTTGACTTGTTGTTATTACACAAGACGTTCACTTACAAGTTCCTGATAAACTTAATTCACTGTACGTAAGCCTTTATCCATATATTAAGGTATGTTGTTTATGTACTTTTCTCCTTCTCTTTTATATCTGAGAGTTATATATGTTCTTCATTGATTGTACAGACCCTAACTACAATATAATCTAAAATTTCAATCTATTTTACCCAATTTTATTTCATTATTCCTTCGATAACCACCGAGCCATACGTTGCTTTTCAGGTAATGAATATACCTGATTCAAATTTGCAGGTATTGGTTTTTGTCATATATGCTTTTATACTTATCATTAGTAAGTCAAGAATGAAATGCTTTTTTTGTTACTGTTTATTCATGTATTCTTATTGGCGACCTTTATTTAGAATTAGGCCTGCAAATAGTTCAACCAAACAGCATCTGTTAAGCCTAAATCTGTATCTGTAGTTTCAACTCTGACGGGTCATCATGCAACCTCTTTTGCAAACGCGACCTTTATTTAAATTCTTATTCTTTGTTCTGATCATGTCTGTTAACACACGAGCCTTTCTGAAATGTAAATGAAAAAAATTTACTTCCCAATCCATTTTCTATTCGCAAACTTTACCACACCACCCTATTTAGTCTGTAATCAAAATTATTTATTTGAAAAAAACATTATTAAAGTTTACCTGTTTGCTGAAGTAGTTATGCTTTATTTTTCTAAACTCAATGTCAAAACCATAATTACACTTTCAAACTTATTATTTGCAGATATGTTAATACTTATTGTTTATAACCTTGGAACATTTGTCATTAGATTTATTTCATTTTGAGCCTACCTGCATTTAATTCAAAATTAAATAATAAGACACATGATAATGTGAAACAATTATCTACCAGTTCATTTTACTTTAAACCAAACCAAACCCAAAAATTTTACTTCACATATAAAAAACAGTATTAAAACGCTTTCAATGTGTCGAAATATAATAAGTAAACGATAAACCCCTAACACATTGTTTGAACTTAAAAACATGTATTTCATACCAAATTAGATGATAAATACTAGGGACAAAAATTTTAAAATTCTGAATCAATCAATCTGAACGTTCATAATAATTACAAATAATTTTCAATGTAACACAATAATAAGTAAAATAAAAAAGGCCATTTTTTCCTTTTTTTTAATATGCCTAGCTAATCAACCAACCATATAATCTTACTTTTAGCAATTAAAATATTTCATAATTCATACCATATTCATACAGAAATATAAAAAAGTACTAAACAGAATACCACGCATTGTTTAATTATTCTTTGTCTTTACTTATTGATACTTAACATAATAAAATACTTTCCCTTTGTAATAGACCAATTGGGCTCTTAATCCGCCCAGCCTTGTAACCCCAGGCCCGTCATTAATTCTTTGTCAGTTGGTTGTTTGGGTGTTTTTTTTTTTTAAAAAAAATTGAACTACAGCCCTATCTTTTATTCTTTGAAAAACCCACATTTAATTCGATCGTAATTAACCAGTTGCATGCGCAGCCAATAAACGCCAAATTGCCGCCCCTTGTCATCCCAAAGCGATACAAAACGCAGCTTCATCCGCGGCCCTTCCTTCCCTTCACTTCACCTATCGACTACTCACGCAATTACTCCCATCCAGTGCGGCGCACTCTTGCCTGAAATCTTCACCGAGGTAATTTCTTCCTCCCACCTTACCACTCTCTGCCATGAACACCTATCCTCTGCTATTCCATCTTTTCATTTTATTTCATTATAAAAAATTTGCATTGTTTGCAGAGAAACCATGAATGTTATATGCAAGCGTTTAGTGTTTATTCTGCCCCTACTCACTTTCTTTTATGTTCCAACTTTTGGTATTCATCTTCCTATCTTTTTTTCATTGCATGTGTCCACAACCCTTCAATACATTCATCCAATTGCCTCCTTTGCATTTGGATTTTTATTTATTATTTTTTTATACACATCATAGCTACACAATGTCACACCCCTGTGAGCCTGTTTGGTGCTCTTTCAGTTTGTGTTTTTTATTTTTACTTCTTTTTTGTATACTGTTATTGTGTTTTGTTTTTCAATTTTGCACTGTGATGTTTTACAATCTGTACAACAGAGGTATGGAAGTTAATTTACCTTATTGTAATATCTTCGTTGAGTTACTGTTTGTTGCTTGTGTAAATATAAACATTCTGTTCTGTGTATGGTGCCTGTTTGTCTTCTGTCAAGAGGATTTGCTTATGTAAAAATGGTTTAAATCCAGAACACACAAACTTCTTATGCAACTGCTTTATTACTCTCATGTTGTGCACACAACTCACTTGATTTTTTTAGAATATGATATTGTGTGTTGTTATAAATGGGAATTACTTTTAGGACCATTGGTTTAACTGCTATGTGCACAGCCTTCATTTAGAATTGTTCAACCTTCATATTCCCGATTCTGAAAATTTTTATCTGAACCAATATTTACTAGAACATTGGTTACCAAATTCCATAATATGCTTTATTTGTTTTAAATTTTTATTGCTTTGTCTTAACACTAAATTTTTCACATTTTTATAATGCTTTTTAAACTTATGCTCTTTTTACTATTCCCAGGGGAATAAAGAAGATTAAATTTCCCTTAGACCAGATTATTCTATCAAATCATAGGCAGTAATATTGAAATAACATTGCTCTGCTCTATTTTTCCAACTTTTGCAGCCACCTTGTTGGTTGATTCTGACAGTAAATAAACTTGACTTTTACATCTATTTGTAACTATAATTTCATGCTATATGTCTCCCTCCCTTCAAGTCTATGTAAATATGATCATTCTCATTGTGAATAACCCAACTGAGTTCAAACAAAAGAAAAATTTTCCTGAACTTCATAACCTTGATATACAGCCTACTGTATTAATATTAAAATTCTAAGTACTTCCATTTTCTTAAAAAAAATAAACTTTTTTTCCCTACCTTTTTTTAAGATATTTAATTTAATATGCATACATACATACTCTGTTAGACACTATATTTCTTGAACAACACACATATATACCTACAACCATTTCATCATTTGTTATTCATTGTGGTACCCATCCCCCCTCATGTTTAACAAATTATACTCATTTGTTTCACTTTCTTAGTCACATGGACCTATTCAGCACCTATACTGTGGAAAACACCATTGTTAATGGCGGTGTTAACACTGTTACGTATTTCCTCCATACTGTTCATGGAAGGAAAATAGCTGTGGTCATCCTCACTGAAAGATCCAACCGCCAATACACCTGTCAAACAAGCACAGATTGGCAGCACTTCTTGACTGCCTCTGGATTTGACAGACTACTGCCTATGCGCTTCAGGAGTAAAGATGATGTAGAACACAAGATTAATCATTTGTTTGCACGCAGGCTTACAATGCCCCTACTCACAGGTGATTCCCCATTCCTTTCTTTTGATTAATATGAATAACAACACTGTTACTTTAGTTTGTCATTATGGTGCTCTTCTATTTTTACCCTCGGCCATATTTATTCCTCATCCTATGCAGCGTGCCCAAATAGCACCACAATCCATTCTCTGGACGTTTTTGGCAGTTCCCTGGTCTGGTGCATGCTGGACATGGAACATTTTGAAAGAGTGGTCAGATTCTTACACCACTTGGATTCTTTGTATTTTATTCCATTATGTTGTTTAATCTACTGAAACCAATTTCTTTTAACCCTTCTCTTTTAGAAAATACCACCCTGCATGCACCGCCATTTGTTCGAGCACACAAAATCAGAGGCCTTACTAAGGTATGGCAATACTGTTTGGCCAGTGGCTGTTCGAGGTTACACTTTTGACCATGAATTTACCAACTTCCTGGTAGAAAATGACATCCCATTTGATGGCTTTGTACTGCTGCGCCACATTGGGAATTTCATATTTGATGTGCTCCTATTTGACGCTGACGGCCACTCTCGCAACCTGAGTGAACCGCCAAATGCCAACCTTAATCCCAACCTTTCTGGAGGTATATTTCTTGTTTATTCATAACACCTTACCATTTACTTCCCACTTCACACTAACCCTTTGTGAATGTCTTTTTTTTTGTGTTTTTTTTTCTCTGCAGATTAGTTCTTTGTGTATGCACAGTCTGCAATTTCAAACTGCTCATATAGGAAACTGTTTAGGCCCCCTTCATTTCTTTACATCCCCACAAAAACAACAACGGTACAAAATCTCATTCATCGCTTACTAATTCCAATTCTTTTAACTAAAACAACCCTGATTTATCTTGTGCCTGCAGTCAGCCTGTGAGACATTCCTTAAGAACTGCTGCGATACCAGGGGTCAAATACTAATTATGCATGGTGAAGTGCAAGACCCTTTCTATGGCGGTGAGATGGATCTGTTACAAGAAATACAATTCAATTTCCACCTTGACCCAACTTATAGCCTTGTTTTTTTAAGTCCGGCAGTGGGAAACTTAGATTGCTTGCTCTTTCCAAATGCAACGTTGAAGAGCCTCCACATCAAAGCCATACATATGAGCTCAACAGCCAAGTTTGCACCCATACTGCAACTAAAGCTTAACTGCTCTCTTATTATCATTTGATTTATGTTATGTTCTTTAGGTTAACTTGTTTGATTCCCCCCTGTCGCAGCTAAAACAATTACCCTAAACTGCTATCTTTATGGGAATCACCCATCGTTTTTTGTTAGTTTACCAATGTAAAAGTACTGGTTTGCTTACTGTGTTTCGCTGCAACACTCTGCATTTTGCTTTTGCAATTATAACAAACACTGTCATTACTCTTTCTACTCAATTGTTATCCTATTTTCCAGCATTACACGTAAATGCTCACTTTACTGCTGTGATACTCTGTTTCATCTCTGTTCTTCAAATAGTTACACAATATAAGAAAATATTTTATGCTAAATATTTACTCTTGGGTTAAAGATTTCTTCAATTGCTTCTTCACAACTACTTACTTTTATGACATTATCAATCTGAAACACTAATTACTTTTATGTTTCTTCCTTATTTCAATTATCCCTTTCACATATTGATCTTGCATTCCTTTCATGCCGTAATTCTATACCTCCCATTGGGCATAACAACCGCGCGAAGCGTGGATCCCCGCTAGTTATGAAGATAAGATGGTTGTTACTTTAATTATGCGAGTACTACAACCATATGTGCAACCAATTTTATATGTGAGGGGATATGTGCGAGTGTGGTATAGAATGATTCCTAGACGATACCGTTTATTGTTCACTAGAAATTAACATTAAACTATTAGGGTGAATAATATATGTACATGCAATTATACATAAATGATGAAAACATTCAAAATGTTTATTTAAAGTATTGATATACATATTAATAAAAAATCGGAAATTGTCCTAAATAGGACTAATGAGTTCCTAAAATGCACAAATAGGACTACTACTTTTTAAATTCCCTAAATAGGACTAAACATAGATTTTCTACCCTAAATACCCCTAAGAGTATTAATTCATAATGAAATGCTTTAATTCATAATAAAGTCATAAAAAAACGTAAAAAATATGTAAAAAACGTAAAAAAATTATAAAAAATTTATAAAACATTTATAAAATAAAAAATTTAATTTTTATTTTTTTAATTTTTTTTAAAAAATAATAAAAAATAGTAAAAACCCATAAAAAATGAAAAAAATTATGGATACATTTCCCACCGCCATCAGCCGCCTCCCAGCACCATTACCTCCGATTGGTGAAATTTCTTCCACTTTTGGTAAAAAAATGTCATCTTTTTCGGAAAATGCCAAAAAGATGGCATAATTACTCTTCAATATGCCAACATTTTCATTGAATATGCCATCATTATGGCATTATTTAAAATGTTGGCATATTTTTCTCCGGTGATGGGAGCTGGTGGTGCTGGGGGTGGCAGGGGTGGTAATGTTTTGTTTTTTAAATTTTACGATTTTTTTTTTAAAATTATTTTTTTTAATTTTTTTAAAAAATATTTTTATTAATTTTCTATTATCTTTTTACGATTTTTAGTATTTTTTTCGATTTTTATTATTTTTGTATGATTTTATTATTAATTAAAACATTTCACAAGTTACAAGGGTATATTTGGTCAAACACACATAAATAGTCCTATTAAGGGAATTTAAAAAATGTAGTCCTATTTGTGCAATTTTGCCACTTTTTAGTCCTATTTAGGGAATTGACTCTAAAAATTAAGTAAAATCACACTATTCATGTGATAAATGGCTTGCACTTGCGTAAAAGCTGCATACATATTTTATTTTCTTTATAATGCTAGAGAAATCAAAAGTAAAATAGTTCTTTATTACTTTTATTGTATTATTATAAACACTAATTAAAAAACTTCATTTTTGTTTGCCGCTAATGTCCAGGATTGATAGGTCGATTCTATATGTCAAATAAATAATCGTCTCGTTACAGGCCAACTCTAGAATCTAATCTATATCAACTTGTGATGAGTACACCCCGAAAAAAATGAGATGTATACCTTTGAAGAGAGGAAGATAGAAGAATAGTGTTTATATCAATACTAGCTTTTTGTAAGCGCAATGCGCAAAAGCTAATGCACCATATTAAGACAGTAACCCCCAATTATCCATTTTATTAGTCAATTTTGGTAATTTTAACAAGTGAAACATATGTCAATTATCAATCAAGAATATGAAAGATTTAAATTTTTTATATATGACCCATATGATGGAAAACTATCATTTAATACTATATTATTTTTAATATTAATTAATTTTATTAAACTAATAAATATTTGTAAGTAAAATATCATCAAAGGTCAGAAACAAAACAAATACAAAAGTAAATAAATCAAAGTATAATACTTCATATATTTTAGGTCTTTGATTGATAGGTTTGAATCATTTGGATTTCGTATCGACAATTCTCATTTTTCAGGTTTGTGACTGGTACTTAGCATATACTTGAAATATTGGGTCAATAACAACATTTTACTAAACCTTTTATTTTTTATTTGTGTGTTGAACTGTGTAATAATAAAAATAAGTGATGCTGAAGGTACCAATTTGACTCAATCAACTCAATTTTCTGAAGAGGGCAATTTTTTCTTTTTCATATATTTTTGTAGAAAAAATATATTCTAAATATATTTTTCACATAATTTAGTCAATCCTACCCATCTCCTCCTCGCATCACCATCTCAATTCTCAATTCGCTTAATAGGTGGAGCGCTCGATCTTCTACACATTCGATTAAATTACCACAATTGAGACTTACATCATATCTTATAACGGAGGAATAAAGTAGTTAAGTATATTAAAATTACTTTTATGAAACATAAAAGGAGTTATATTGATAAATCAAATTTAAAATTGACTATAGTGAAACATATTTTCACCCGAACATAAAACACATAAAATTTCAGAGGATCAATAAAACATAAAAATGGATGTATGTATACATAATCTATACAAAATTACATAAAATAACAGAGAACTAGTGAAATATTAAATTGCAGGTACATGTATATATTTAACGGTGACGCAACCAATCACAATGCTACTTTAACAGAACGAGGATGATTTATGCTATTAAAAAATGAAATACGGATTATATTATTTTAATAAAAATGTATAAGAGACAACACACATAAAAGATGGACACAAAATATGGAATATATTGTACATTTGTACAAGACACAATGCACATAAAAATGTACGAAGTACTAATTAACATTCATATTTATAAGTGTTTTTTTAAAGGAATATTTGTAAGTGTTTTAGAAATTAAAGCCATTAACAATTCCTGATTTCGTATAAACCGTTAAACCTTCAGAAGAATTTATCCAATGAACCACTTTTAAAATACAGGAATAGCTTTTAGGTGCGGAATAGCATAACCGAGCACAAGACTACAAGAGCACTTCACAGAATATAGCAAAGGGGCATTGCGGCCGAGAGAGAAAGTGGCGGCTTTTGGAAGCAGGAAGCAGGACGCAGGCGCCACTATTCCATCTCCTGCCTCTTCCAGTTTCTTAGGGTTTATTTCCTCATTTCTGCACGTTCTCGCCTCATTCAATATCCCAGGTTGAAGATCGTTGGTAGGCAATTGATATTTGAATGATTCACTGTTTTCAATGCTGCTTATATCCGTCTTTCTTTTAATCGTGTTGCTTTGTCTAGTTATCGATTTATAAGGTTAGATTCGACTGTTTGATGGGGTGTGTATTGGAATGTTCAGATGACAACTAGTCAGGTAGGAGGATCGTCTAGGAGAAGCATGCCGTCATCGACCTCCTCGTTTCAGGTCAAGAAGAAAACAGCTGAGAATGAAATAGGGCCAACTGATTCAGTCTCCCGGAAGTCTTTCTCCTCGGCTTGCTCCACGTGCGGTTCTATTTCCCGTCGTAATACTTACAGAGTTACAGAATTATTTATTACTGAATAATACATACTTTCGAATTGATATTTTCTTGCAGTTGACTTTTTTCTTTTCCTGTCCTACTTGGGGTTCACATTTGCATTTTTAGTAACTTATTTTGGTTGTTGAATTCATAGGTTTGTATGCAAAAGTCATCTACTAGCCCCCCCCCCCCCCCAAAAAAAGACACCTGCTACGGTGTTTCTGTGATATTTTAGGTTTATATGTACATTACCATAACCCCTTCTCTACCCATACAATGATAGGGGACAGAGGTAGTCAAGAAAAGGCTTAGGTAAATGACATGTTTTGACATGAATGCCCTTGAAGTGGGTGTGTTTGAGCCACTTGTAATTATGTTGGGAAATTTTTGACCATTTCAAGGTTCAAGTGCTCATACTAACTCTTGTATGCTCGCTCACAAACATAGCATAAAGATACATTATTATGATGTGACTCTATATTATACAATGGTGTGTGCAAGAAAGGTTTTACGAGTATATGAGTAGGTTGCTTTACTCTTTAATCTGTGTATCTGAGAATATTTCACTCTAAGAGACTTACTTACACTTATGAAAAACTTCTTGGATTGTCTCCTCTCACCCAAGGAAGTTAATTGCTCATACTCATCTGGACATCCAAGGAGCCATCTTTAAATTTGCTTATGAAGGAGGAGCTCACCGCTATTTATGTCAATCTCTGAAGCCAAAGACTAGATTCTCTAGGATTTTCTACACTTTCAGTGTTTTACGATTAAGTCTCCACAAGCTTCTATAATCTTTTGAAAGAATTAAGAAAACTCCACATTTATTTTGAATGTTCGAGAGACTCCCACATTTTTTACACGATTCTAGAAAATTTCACTCTTCTCAAGAGGACTCAACAGGGTTCTTAAATATTATACACCCTCTATGAGTTTCTCGAAAATTCTTCACTTCTATAGACGGTTATAGAATATTTGATTGTCAATTCATGTTCGCTAAGCACATGTAGAGGATTATAGACATCAACATCATATCATTCTCTTAAACTTCTTAGCTGGGGAGGGACTTAAACTAATCTCCGCTGTAAACTTAAATGATAGTTAGGGGTTAGCCATAAATAAATACGAGCAAGTATGGGCAATCATGTGTGTAACTCTACCGTCTCTATATGTGAATTATCAACGTTGGTACAATGAGCAAGAACCAAATAAAGGTCAACGACCACGGTAGTCATAGTCAAAAGACGCACAAAAAGCACTAGGGCTCTCCCGCGCCTGAGGCGCAAGGCGCAATTAAAGCACTCGCCTATCTATGATGAATCGCATTACTTAGATAATATCACATATACTATTCTATAATTAGCAAATGCATAAAAAGCCAGGACTCACTAAAACAAAATCATGATTCACAAGAATAAAACA